TTGGTGCAATTTAGCATGTGATTTCTTTATACGTTAAGTAGTACTTTTGAAAGAACTAATAAGGGTTAGTAGTTTGGTATAGAAAATATATTTCGCTAATAATTGAAAAAAATAAAAAATAATAATAATAATTGATGAATACTAAAAAAACGCTACTAAAAAAACATTCTGCGATAATTTCATTTTCCACGAGTATTTCGCTGACAATCTCCTGTTCGTCCATTTCAAATATTATACACTTTTTTTATAAAAATCTGTTCGTTGGGACCACGGTTTATACACTTTTCTGACCTGCACTAAGTTGACATGACATTGCACTGACTTACACTTCATTGCACTATGACGTCATACGAGTGCCATGTCGTGCAGAGTAGTGCAGCCCCAACGAACAAAGCTTATGTTTCACTTTTTATTTTGGATTAATATTGTTTTTTAAACAATATTACAGTAAAATTAATATGCGCATAATATCCGAAATAATTAGCGTCATCTATGAGGCGGATGGCAAAGCTTTGTTTTAATGATTTATAGGAATTCCCAATATTTTGATGAAATCACACATTTTCCACTTCACCCAAATTTCGAGATAATAATTCAATTTTACGTTTCATTACACGTAATCTCTTCCTAAATTCTACTAGTATCCTTGAAGCGTTGGCGTCTCAATTTATTGTTTAATTTCTCGTAAATGTCGCTTTACATCAAGTGCTAAACTTTAGGATTTTTTTTATGTTACAAATACAGCAATTTTACAACGCGGAATACTTCACTGTGTAGAAAAATGTGTGTACTTTAATTCTATGTATTCACTTTTCCATAATAAATTGCCATGAAGTTGTAACTTGGGTAAAAACTAACCTCTACCAGCACATATAAAAATGGTCGGTATATTTAAACGACCCCTTAAATAATCCTTCATTATTTGTCATATAACTTGTTGCACCTCAGTCAATTAAGAATGCTATATCTCTACTTTCCATTTTTATTTCTTCTGTAAGAAAAGCTTTTTTTGTTTTCGTTTTTTTCTTTCTAAAATAATAATCCTTTTCAGTGTTTGTTCTTTTCCACTATTTTCACTACAATTTCTTGGAATATGGCCTTTTTTATTGCACTTGAAGCATGCTATTTCTTTATTTATTTCCTTCTTTTTATCTTCTTTAATTTTACAATCATCCAATGTAGTGGTTTTTTACATTTGAAGCAAGTTTTTTCTACTGATGTAAACAAAACTGGTTCATTATTTAGTTTACCTTTTAATAATTGTTCTTCTTAACCTACTTTGCTTTTGTTTATACAACTAAAATTCAAACTTAACAGAATAAATACCTCAGAAATAAAATCGGTGATGGCTTTTTTAATTTTCTTAGTTATTTCTTCTTCAGAATCTGTTATATAAATACAACCTTTCGTATCTGGATCAGATTTAGACATTTTCTTTTCAGGGTTACGTAAGCTTTTAATTTTCGCATTTTCTAATTAAAAAATCCACAATCAACATTGATTTTAATCGTTTAAATAAAGTATTACCTGTTATTACAGCATGAGGAATTGGAAATTTTGTTTTAAAACGGTTATTAAACATTTTAGTTAACTCTTGTGACAATTGTAAATGTTGTAATTGATCTTCACCGACCGGTACATGAGTAGCCCTAAAAATATTTTATATAATATTGTTTTAAGAAGAATACTTTTATACCTATAAGCTAAAATATCAGCTGCTTGTAAAACTGGGTAAACAAATAATCCAAGGGGAATATCTTTTAATTGTGCAGATTTTTCTTTGTATTGCGGTAAATGAGCCAATCTAAAACATATTAAAACAATTAAAATTAATTTACTTCATATTTAGTTTTTACCTGGCCATTGTAGAAATGCAACTTAAATACCAAAATAATTCTGTATGTTGTGGTACAGAAGATTGTTGAAAAATAATCACTTTTTTAGGATCTAATCCAACAGCTAACAATGTTGCAGTCATTTTCAATATATTTTCAGATAAAACTTTTGGATCCTATCATTAAGAATTATATAAACATAAGTAAAATCAGTTTAAAAATATTTAAAACGTTAATTTACATGACGAAGGGTCATTGAATGAAGATCAACAATACTTAAAATAATTCCATTGTCTTCTTCTTGTAATCTAACCCATTGTCTTATCGCTCCTAAGTAATTGCCTAAGTGAATAGTCCCTGTTGGTTGAATACCAGAAAATATCCTTTTTGGAAGAGAATTCACTGAATGATCGCTAAACTTAAAAGTGATTTAATTAAAGTATTTCATATGAGGAATTAAATTTATATTAATTAAGTTAAACATACCTTTCTAATACATTTTATATTACATATTGATTTTAAAGTGGTGTTTAAAAGGAGTTTTTGTAACATTTTTATTAAAGAAGTGAGGTTAAAAATTTTTTTATAGGTTATGTTAGTTTTAGATGCATATAATAGATGGCGCTAAATAATTTAAATTTAAAAATTTTAATTTTTCAAATATTTTTTTTACTTTATGGCATATACAAAGAATATAAAAGGAAAGTATTGTAATCGTAAAAAAAAACGACTTCGAGATTTTGTTGAATTTACTTGTTTCTACGTCCATTGAAACTATTTCAACTCTCGTACTTGGGTGGAGTAATAAGACCTTCAAAATGAGATTATGTCATTAAAATAAGAGTCTTTTTCAATATAAAAACTTTATGGTAACATGCCAATAAGCATTCCAGGACAAATTCAATCAATCAGCATCTATGTATTAGTTTATGTGACACATAATCATACCTTATTATACAGTGTACAAGTCTTTACCTGCTATAAATCGCTCCCAAAAAAGTAACGTGGCCAACCACCTAAGAATTGTACAGTTTATGCAGAATATGCTCTAACAGTTTTCTGTGTTATATGAGTTTTAAATCTCTGAATTTTGATGCAGTCAAATATTGCGAAAATATCACCTGATATTAATACGCTTACGTTCAATCCCCATACTGGAACGTCGAGAATGGTGAACACACAAATTTCACCTACCAAAAAGTATCTGTGTCAACTTCTTATCTGCATGTTTATAATCAACATGTCTTTATCTTGCTTTGGTGTTCTAGATGATAGGTAGCTTACAATCGCAATTCATGTCTTTACCAATATATTCATTTTCTTACAATGTTGCCACACAATTGATCTCTATGACATTGCTTTAAATATGTCTTGACTGCCGTGCATATAAACTTAAACGATTTAATATTTAGTGTACATACAAGCGTGTTAAGTAACTTACTTTGACATCAGGAAAATGATTCCTCTTGGTGGAACGGATATCCGGCAACTATCCGGCATTCAGCATATTCGGCCGTTTTTTAAAATCCGGCCGGATACCGGATAGTTCCCAAATATCTGGCTTTGGCCGGACATTAAAAACCTATTACCTAGTACTCCACCATCAAACAGGAATTAGTATTTCTTTTACGTGTTGGACACTGCAGATAATAATCAAGTTCAACCCCAATAGGACTTTTTTCATTGAATACATTTTTATTTATATCAGGTTTGTCATTAGCAACCTCATTGTAACAATTCCAATGCTATATATAAAATCTCTTGTTGCAGTTTCGTCTAGTTTTCTTCCTTTCGCTTGTTAATAATAATAATAATAATTCATTTATTGACTTGATAACAAAAACCTAATTCAAACATATAATAACATATCAAAATAAAAATACTATTAATTACATCAAGTTAACTCGGACGATTGTCAGAGGAGGTTTAGATAAACAACTCTGATTTTCACAATCGCCCGAAAATACTATAAATAAGACAAGAATAAAAGAAAACAAGAAAACAGATAAATCGAGAAAACACGCAAAACGTGACAAAACACAAAAGAACAAAAACAAAATTGTTTTTTCAAGCAACATCAAAAAACAAATTGTAATTTAAATGCCTTTTTGAAGGCAGGCACTGATTGTTTAGAGCGCAAAGCTTCCGTCAGAGAATTCCAAAAATCAGCAATTCTGTAAGAAAAAGACCTTTTAAACAGTTGGGTGTTATGAGGCAGGATAAACAGGCAGTTCTTTCTGCGGACGTTTATATTATGAACGTCCGTTCTAAATCTGATTTTATTGTTACTGTAACTGTCGCTGTTATCACTTTCGATTATGAATTAAACTATCCTCTTCTTAATGCAAAAAGCCGTTTTGAAAAATCACTTTCGGTTCTTGAGAAATACATTTTTGAAATGATCGACAATGTTGTCGAATTTTTCAATTTTCGACGATTAAGTTTAAAAATTCGTATAAAATCGAGTTCTTGAAATATGAATATGAAAATTTCCCAAAATGTTAATAAAAGTGTCCTCTTTCCAATGAACCAACCCGTTTTGAAAAATAACTTTTACTTTTTGAGAAAACAATATTTGAAGTTTTGATAAAATTTTCGATGTTGCAATTCTCATCGATAATTTTCAAAATTCGCTATAAAATTAATTTCTTGAAGAATCCTTATGGAAATATCACCAATTATTCATTAAAGTATCCTCTTTTAATACAAAAAGTCGTTTTGAAAAATCACATTTAGTTCTTGAAAAATAAATTTTTGAAATAATCGACAATCTTTTCAAATTTTACAATTTTCGCCGATTAAATGTTAATAATTCGTATAACATCGATTTCTTGGAATATGAGTATGAAAATTTTCCAAAATGTTAATAAAAGTGTCCTCTTTCCAATAAACCAACACGTTTTGAAAAATAACTTTTACTTTTTGAGAAAACAATATTTGAAGTTTTGATAAAATTTTCGAATGAAATGTACTGGTGATATAGGATCCTACTACAGACTGTGTTTAATCTTGGTAAAAACTGATCATATCTCTAAATTTTGTACAAATTTTTTATTCTGTTCAAAAAGTGCTATTTTTCATGATTGAAACTGACTATTAAACACTTAATTTCTGTTGAAAGAGAGCTATATTTCATATTAGTGTCGATTAGGAAGATTAGTTCTGTTCAAAAAAGACTATTTCCTTGATTTCTATGATTTCTATGTGACATTTGTTACATATTTTGCATTCAAGTTGGTAACAAAACATATTATTTCCCATTATTATCCCATACTATTATCCGTGGTGTCAAGTTTCTTCCGCATGGATATTTCGTCGATTAATTTATCGATTTTAACAAATTCATTTAAAAATTCTACAAAATCCGACTGAAACATGGATGTACGTGCCCTAAATAGTGATGTAAGACAGAAAATACGAAAAGATCGCTTCATCTATCGTAAAAAGTAAGTGCCTTTAGTACTCTTATTTTTTTGTGTACGAATATTGTGTTTTCTGTTGGTTTTCGCATATGATTTCATTTTATTTTTCAGAAAATATACAAGCAACCCAACCCAACCCTCTTTGTATCAACTTCAAAGCTACATGCAAGCATAGATGTAAAAACACGAAGTTAAAATTCAAGTGTCGTTCAATAGCCATGGAGGATGTAATCAAGAACAGGAAACGTTTGAATGATAAAATTACGAAACTCAAGCAAGACATCTTTTTAGCAAGGCTTTTGAGCCCTTCAGAACTTACCGTATTTTCTCGAATCTAATCCGCACCCTTTTTACAAATTTTGTATGCTCTAAAATCAAATGCGGATTACAATCGGATGTGGATTACATTGGAAAACCAACTTTTTTTACCATCATTGCATTTTTAAAATCGGGGTGCGGATTAGATTCGAGTGCGGATAAGATTCGAGAAAATACGGTAAAAGGGAAATCTAGGCTCAGGTCCTGTGCAAGAAACTATGCTATTAGTGGTACCTATGTAATAAAATGTCAAGGCACGAAGATGCAAAGAGTTTGTAGATCCGTTTTTATTGAAGTTTTCAATGTTTCAAGAAAATTTTTCCAAAATTTGAATACAGTTTTGATACAAGGTGGAATACCCAAAGAAAAACGCGGCGGTGATAGGAAGTCAAATAAAACAAAGGATAAAAAGGACAGTCTCAGAACGTTTTTGAATAATTTACCAGCCAGTGAAAGCCACTACAACCGAAACAAAAGCAAACGCATATATTTATCTTCAGAATTAAATTCCAAAAAACTAAGACAATATTATTGTATTCGGTCACAGCTAATCTCAGAGTTTAACGGTCAATGTTTTATGAAATTCTTTACAAAGAATACAACATTAGTTTTAAAACCCCTGCATCAGATGTCTGTGGTACTTGCATTCTTTGAAAAATAAAAAAAAACTTGAAAAAAATTCTGAAAAAAAAACAGCAATTAATGATGGAGAAATGGGTTCACTCTATAAGGGCCAATATATATTATGCGTCAGGATGTGCATGACAGTATAAGTTTGTGATTTAATATGGAAAAAGTGTAATCGTTACCAAAAACCCCTATATAAGATGCATACTATTCAAGACAAATAAGTTTATATAACTTATGTGTTGTAACATTGGATTCAAAAACCTACATTCTTTACATGGTTAGAAACACAATCTGGAAGAGGGTCAGTTGAAGTAGGATCTGCATTATTCACCTATTTAAAGGACTTGGAAATATCTACAAATATATAAACTACACGATTGTTCTGTGATGGTTGTGGGGGAGCAGAACAAAAACAATCATATTATTCATATCCTAATACATTGGCTTTTAAACAAATCACCCTACAACGTCAAATAAATAACTCAAATAACATTAACATTCCCAGTTAGAGGCCACAGCTTTCTTTAAGCAAACCGAGTTTTTGGCAGATTAGAGAAAGATATCAAAAAACAAACGGTAATGACACTTCCTGAACCGTATTATGAAATTTATGGAAAACATGGAACATTGAAAGTTTTGGAAGAAAACCGGTCTCTGTATGATATCAAAGACCTTGAACAATATTATAAAAAAGTAGTGATATCCGTTCAGTAAAAAAAATCTCGACGATCTCGTTGCAATATTTACACCCTCGACACATATAGTTTTGAAACAAATAAAGAGCCAATTAATCTTCTAAAGCGAGGTAAGCGCCATTGCTAAACTGGTTGCACAATTACCCATGAGACCTCATGGTATAAACAGGAACAGAAAGAAAGAAGTAACTAATTTACTCGTCAAGCAGTTTGGTGATAGCTGGGCTGATTTAACGCAAGAACGTCGGCAGAGGGGGCCGCTGCCCCCTCCCTCCTTAGAGACAGATTCAAAAAAAATAAAATTGAAATACAGTAAATATACATCTCGAGTACTGAACAACTATCGATTGGGATGCGATATTTTGATCAGGAAACGAAGGAAATTCCAGAAGTATTCCTCGGATTCGTCAAGCTTGATGCTTTCGATGCGAAATGTATTGCAAAAGCAATAGATGAGTTTTTGGCAGAAGAAGATCTTGATCCGGACAAATGTATTGGTATTTGACGGTTGTTCGACGATGTCCGGGAAAGAAATTGGTGTGCAAGCAATCCTACGCAGAAAATATAAAAAAGCTTTGTTCTTTCACTGCTCGTCACACAAATTAAATCTGGTCATTAATGATCTAAATAGTCTGAAATCCGGATCACCAAAGGTACCATCAAAGATAATATTATTAAATTTTTTCAAAAATCAGTTTTGAGATGCAAATTGATACCAAATATTTCCAGGCTTTGCGAAACAACGTGGAGCGAGAAACACAGAAAAATATTAAAGTTTTTAAAGAGAATTTTCCTATTATAATGGCCTTAGAGAAGAGGCCTTAAGCCGTGTGCACTACCAAGTTTTCTTGCGGAAGTTGCTTCCAGAAGTGACTTCCAGAAGTTTTTGTCGTGTAAACACGCATGTTAACATGCGTGTTTACACGCGTTGGTTAAGGAGGAGTTTTAAACTTTTTCCATGACCGAATTCTAATTTAAACATACATTTTAGTGGCAGTTAGGAAGAGCTTCCATTTAACTGATAAAGAATATGAAGTGGTAGTAAGCAATTGGTTACGACAAGCGAATTTACGTTATAATAGGCGAAATAAGGAAACTGCAGATGAGATAATAAAGAATATTGTTATTTTCTTTTAGTATTCTTTCTTTCGTTTACTCGTCGCAATACTGAAAACGTAGTGCAAGAATCGCATCTCAAATATGAAACAAATTTAAAAATTTTGTGTTGCCATTTCTCCATATATGTATATTTTATGTAGTTTTGTACTTTTATGTTTTAGTTTTATGTAGGTTATTTAAATTTTAGTTAAATTTCTTAGTCTTGAACAATCATAAAAAGATGATGAAAGAGATCCCCAGCTTCTTCAGACTACAAGTAAAGAAGACCTATTTATTTTGTAAAAGTCTTATTGTTATAAGTGAGACCACATGTTGTAAAATTCTTTTTATCAAGAAAAATAAACAATTCCACGACTGTAGTACATCGTTTGTGGTACATTACTTGTTTTATTGTATTATCTGACATGTAAATTGTCATGTAACTGTTTTTGTAAGTTATTTTGTAATACTGATAGTTTCTCTCCATAAAAAGAATTTTACAACATGTGATATCTCCAATAACTAATGTAAAATAAAAAAAATGTTAAATATATTATTATAATTATTATTATTAAATATATTATAGGTATTCTTTACTTGTAGTCTGAAGAAGCTGGGGATCTCTGGCGAAACATCACAAATATATGTGTTTTAATTGAAACAATGTTTCGTTTGAGAAAAAAAAATTCTTTCGGTTATTCATATATAAACAGAAGTAAAAATAATTAAAAATACCACTAATATGATCTAAATTTAACTTTATATTTAAATGACCTACATAAATTATTGGAATGTTTATGTTTAATTTGTTTACAAATAAGAATTTTATTTTAGTTACCATTTTAATATATTTTGTATACATATTTACTAAATATATTTAATGCATACCTACTCTTATACTTACTTTATATGTCCTAATCAATGAGAAAACAGAATAGTAGAAATTATTGACTGATAATTTTGAAATTTGGTACAGTAGGCGGTAAGTAACAAGTATCGTACCATATCGTACTTCTATTATTATTTTTCCTACCTTAAGGTATGATTTTGTTGCAGCGTCCACCGTCTGCGCCCTGGGTGGTATGCTCAGAAATGCTTCCTCAGCATATGCATATCTTTTGAGGAAGCATGTATGAGCATCTTGTCCAGGATGCAGACGCTACACCTCAACGAAATTATATCTTTACATACATATGTACATCCCTGAAACGTCAACGAAACCTTTCAGAAATTATTTTTAAATGTTTATGATACATACTATTAATGTAATGGAAATGTAAACAAAACATTACAGAAATAATTCAAAACCATTAATGAAACATTTTAGTAGTGTACCGTAATTGTCAGCTGTATGTTGCAGAAACGTTTCAATAGAAACGTTTCAATAAAACATAAAAAGGGTCGGACATTAGCAGTTTCAGATACGTTTCATCTATGTTTCAGAAATATGTCGAAGAACGTTTCATGTTTCAATAATATGTATCAGAAATGTTTCTGAAACGCAAATTTGTTTACTGGGTTTTTGTCGTGTTTACAGGACAAAAACTTCTGGAACTCACTTCTGGAAGCAACTTCCGCAAGAAAACTTGGTAGTGGACACACGGCTTTAGAAACCTTGTCACGGGAAGGAAATAGTGCGACTAGAAAAAATGCTTATCAGCTCCATGCAGCAGCTTCTAGTGTTTCGTTTATTCTCAGCTTTATTTTGAAAGCCAAATACTCGGCTATGACGTAAGTTGTGGTAAACATGTAATACTGTTATTAAACTTGTAATAACACCATCCAGGAAAGAGAATTAGAATATCTTGGACATATTATGAAATATTATGAATGTATATGGTAGAAGAGGACCAGAAGGACATGGTTCTTACAAATTTTTGGTGCGCTTAAAAATGTAAGACTGAGTTCAAGAATATTATAACCAAAAATTTGATTTTTTTAACATTAATTTAATTCTAGAAATCATGTCATGACGTCTCCCAATATTTAGTACGTGTTTGGCAATATGAAGTTTTAATTAGGATGATAATTAAAAACAACCAGCAGATTTAACTTCTACCTTTATTATCTCCTTATCACATTAATCCTGATATAGTAATTCAAAGAGTTTAAGATCCACTCAATTATGGACTTAGTTTCGTAAATGAACTTAATTTTGTTCAAACAATTTAAGTGAATTTTTGGAATCTTTTTGACACAAGCTTGAATTTTCAAAAATTAAAGTCGTGAAACTCTTAATATAGTTCAGAACAACTCATGTTCAATCTACTTAGTGCATATCGTCTGTTATGGCTAGCATTTGATTCGATACCAAGTTTGAGTAACCTGGAATTGAAACAAAAACCCAACATTAATTGAAGACTTAAAATTTATGGAAATGTGTCTGATTGATCACTGTTGCGAGTTCTAAAATTATACAATTATAGACTTCACTTTGTTCAAGAATTTCAGATTGCGGATGAGTTCTAAAATGTTTCTAAAATGACAAACTTAATTCGCCCAAAAACTCAATTTCCGTATTCCGTAACAAAAGCTGGTCATTAGTTTCGTGCAACTCTTCTGTTATTGTATGACTGAGCAAGCCTAGCTTAGAATTCGAGTGTCTTTTGTGTATGTACTTAAATTCTTAATAATTGATTTAGCTCAAGAAATAAAGTATAACTGAAAGATGCTAACTGAAACTGCTAATTGATGTCTAGTGAAGGGTTTGGTTTTACAATTAAATGGTATAAGCAGCCAGTTTAAAATAAACTCTAATTATGATTATTTTAATAATATCTTATTATAATCAAGTTTAATATAGAAATTAGACCTTTAAACTTTCTACGGAGACAATGAAAAAAATATTGTCTGTGTCGCTATAAATAATGTACTGATTATAAGTGTAGATAAAAATAAAAAATATAGATTACACAAATAAAAAAGTATTTTTTATTGATTATTAAAAATAATTAAGATACAAAAACAGAGTACTAAAATTTTCCACATACTTAATAAAGTAGCAATTGTACAAATCATAAATTGTCCGCTTCTTCGATCGTTTCAGGAAGTTTAGAACCTAACGTTTCTGGTAGTTTTAACGATAACAATCCAGCTAAAATTGAGACTCCTGCAAAGAGTATCATTGGAAGCACTTGTACATATTTTCCCTAAAATAATAAATTAATTATTTAAGAAACAAATAAATCTTATTTTGTTTACGATTAATGGCACAAAAGGTGCTAATGTTGACCCAATTCTTGCAGTTGTTGAGGCGGTTCCAACACCACCACTTCTAATAACTGTTGGAAGCATTTCCGCTGTATGGCAATAAACAACACCAAAAGATGAAGTGATGCTGAGTTTCCCGATTAAAAATAAAGTTACTTCTATCCAGGTAATACCTAGAATTTAACGAATAATAAAACAAGTTTTAAATTAGGTGGATTAAAAAACCTGATGGAATAATATTTGCAGCACAGGTTAGCCCACAAAGTAAAAATGATATAACTAAAGTGGGTTTCCTTCCAAATTTAGACATAGATATCCATGAAAGTGTATATCCAGGAATTTCAATTAAACAAACCAAAGAGAAATTTAAATATTTATTTCCGCTTATGTTTACGGAATTTATTGATAATCCATAATACACGAAAGCATTCACAGTCCTAAAAATAAAGAAAAATAATTAAAAAAAGCTAGATTAAATTGATATTATTATTACCAAACAATAATAATAATAATAAATCGCACGACTAATTTTTTTGATTTAAAAATATATTTAATCATTATCCATGGAGATTTTTCAACTTTTTGGGGAGGTGCTACATCGGGATTGATTTGGTCCGTTTCAAACGACATCATTATCATTTCAGAAAGATCGACTTGATTAAATTTGGCCGCTTCTATAACGATTTCTTTCGCTTTTAATTTTCGATTTTTCGCCAATAACCATCGCACCGATTCTGGAATTAACCTAAAAAATCTATTTTAGAATATAAAATTTTTGCCATCAACAACAAATTAACCCACCAGTAATAACATAGAAACACCAAACAAGGTCCCGAAGCCGTTAATTGCAAAGGAACCCAATCTTGATATACCCAAGCGAATAAACCAACTAAAGCTTCTCCAACAGCGTAAAAATAATTTAAAACTATTGCTGTTATTTCACGTTTACTTCGTCCAACTAATTCAACACCTAAAATAATACAGTCAAACCTCGATTAATACGGGGTAGGCTAAAAAGTTCATTATATGGAAAATTTTTAATTTGCACTTTAAACTGTAGGAATGAATAATTTTAAAGCCGCGTTGACATGGGTTGTGAATCACGAACGTGAGCTACGCTTTCGTAAGCTATGCTCTGTGTCAACTATTAGATTCGTGAAAATATTAAAGCTGTTTGATTTTTGTATCTTGTAGTCAGTCGTGAGCAGAGCAAAAGGACAGTTGTTAAACTATGGATGCTCATATTTTAATAATGAATGATGCAGACTCCAATAAATTTCTGGAATTATATCAGAATGAGCCAGTTTTGTAGGATCCGACCAGAGAGGACTATAAAAAAACGAGAGTCTCGTGCAACTGCAGCAAGAAGAATTGTAACTGCAATGGAAATTGATTGTTTTACAGAAATCCATGTAATAATGAAATTTAAAAATGTACTAAGCTCCATTTGCAACATATAAACAAGATTAAGCAGAGTATAAAGTCCGGGTGTTGTTCTTATAAAGTTTATACTCCTAAAGTGAGATGGTTCAAAATAATGGATCAAACTGATAGCAAAAATGAATTCTAAGATGAAAATACTCTAACTTTCGAGTAATTTTCTTTTCAACCAAGCCCAACCGATGTACGTTATAGCCGAGTACGCTATATCAGGTACACATTATAATATAAGCAAGTGAAGTTTGAATGAACAGAGAAAAACATAATTATAAAGCTATACAGGTAATTTATTAGTTCACCATCAAACTTTGACATATGATAGCTAATCCAATTACCAAAAAAAATGTTAATGAACATATGTCCTATTTCAATTATTTATGAAATTATAATATTTTAAAGTTTTCTGCAGCGAATTTATTAATAGCCAGTAAAATCAAACATTCAACAAAAACAAAGTTGTTATTGTAATATGTCAGTTTACTGTAAGGTTTAATTATTAATTATTACATACAAGAAGAAACTCAAAATGTACGCTTAAAGCACTGAAGAGTATGCTGATATAATTTTCGTGTATGGTTTTTGTAATGGAAATGCTCGACAATCACTATGAGAATATCAAGAAAGATTTTTACAGCGTCATTTGCCATATTCAGTTTTTAGCGATTCTTTCAGAAATCTTCGAGAAACAGGTAATCTGCCTCTCTAAAGCTATTTGACCGCATGTCAAATACCGCAGTTAATGTAGAGGACGAAGCTGTAATTAATGCTGTCATTGATAATCCTTCCATCAGCACTCGAAGAATAGCACACAACATACATATAAGTCAAAATTTTGCATGGCGCGTATTGAACCGCGAAGTCCTTCATCCGTATCGTAAACAGAATGTTCTAGCTCTACAGCCAAGACATAAGCAGCAACGGTTAGCATTTGAATGGTTATTGCAGCAACATGCCCAAAATAGTGACTTCATTTCAAATGTTCTCTGGACGGATGAATCATGTTTTACACGAGATGGTATAAATAATTACCATAATGGACATATCTGGGCATTACAAAATCCGCATGCGATTACACCAAGGAAATCTCAACAACGTTTCAGCATCAACGTTTGGGGTGGAATATTTAACAACAATTTACTAGGTTTGCATCTACTTGATGGACGTTTGAACGCTGTAAATTACAGTTTTTTTTAACAATACACTTTTTGATTTACTTGAAGATGTACCTCTTAGTGTAATTCAAAATATGTGGTACCAGCACGATGGTGCCCCACCTCATCGCGAAAGAGTAGTTGTCGAGTGGTTAAACCAATATTTTCCAAAAAAATGGATTCCGCATGGATATCGTCGATTAATTTATCGATTTTAACAAATTCATTTAAAAATTCTACAAAATCCGACTGAAACACGGATGTATGTGCCCTAAATAGTGGTGTAAGACAGAAAATACGAAAAGATCGCTTCATCTACCGTAAAAAGTAAGTGCCTTTAGTACTCTTATTTTTTTGTGTACGAATATTGTGTTTTCTGTTGGTTTTCGCATATGATTTCATTTTATTTTTCAGAAAATATACAAGCAACCCAACCCAACCCTCTTTGTATCAACTTCAAAGCTACATGCAAGCATAGATGTAAAAACACGAAATCAAAATTCAAGTGTCGTTCAATAGCCATGGAGGATGTAATCAAGAACAGGAAACGTTTGTACGATAAAATTACGAAACTCAAGCAAGACATCTTTTTAGCAAGGCTTTTGAGCCCTTCAGAACTTAAAAGGGAAATCTAGGCTCAGGTCCTGTACAAGAAACTATGCTATTAGTGGTACCTACTATGTAATAAAATGTCAAGGCACGAAGATGTAAAGAGCTTGAAGGTCTTGTTATTGAAGTTTTCAATGTTTCAAGTCATTATATGAAAAATTTTTAATTTGCACTTTAAACTGTTTGAATGAATAATTTTAAAGCCGCGTTGACATGGGTTGTGAATCACGAACGTGAGCTACGTTTTCGTAAGCTACGCTCTGTGTCAATTATTAGATTCGTCAAAATATTAAACCTGTTTGATTTTTGTATCTTGTAGTCAGTCGTGAGCAGAGCAAAAGGACAGTTGTTAAATTATGGCTGCTCATATTTTAATAATGAATGATGCAGACACCAATACATTTCTGGAACTATATCAGAATGAGTCAGTTCTGTAGGATCCGACCAGAGAGGACTATAAAAACGAGAGTCTCGTGCAGCTGCAGCAAGAAGAATTGTAACTGCAATGGAAATTGATGGTTTTACAGAAATCCATGTAATAATGAAATTTAAAAATTTACGTAGCTCCTATTTGCAAGATATAAGCAAGATTAAGCAGAGTATAAAGATAAGCAGAGTTGTTCTTATAAAGTTTATACTTCTAAAGTGAAATTGTTCAAAATAATGGATCGTTTTCTCAAGCCACACATAAAAGCAAGAGAAACCCAATAAAACTTGGTAAGTATTTATTTTAATTTATAATTTAAAAATATATAATGTGTAGCTGTGGTCGGTCCGAGATTTCATCCGTTCTTCCTGTTGGGTCCCTTTGGAAAGGGGCAGACGTTTCGCCAAGATCTCACCTGGCATCTTCAGTGGGTTGTCATAGTTTCCTGCAGAAATCTCGGACCGACCACAGCAATAAATAAATAAGTAAATTAGCATATACGTTACATTCTGAAAATTTGTAAGGAAATGTTAAAATGCTCGCCAAAAAATAAATAAGGTAATCCATTTCGCACATTTCAGCGTTTGTATAATTTATTTTTAACAAGTAAGCTTTAAATTTTATAACAAAAGCTACCTCTTGTCAAAATAACAATTAGTTTGTACCTGCAAAATGTAAACTTGTAGTACAAAATTAAAAATGAATTACACAAACGCTGAAATGTGCGAAATGCATTACCTTTACGGAATGGCGTGCGGTAATTCGGCAGAAGCAAGGCGGTTGTATCAAGAAAGACACTACGACATTTCTATATTTTCTACGCATTCACCAACAATTATGGGAAAATGGAAGTTTTAAAAGGAATATTGCTGATAATGGGCGACCTATGGAAATTGCAAATCCCCAAGTAGAGGAGACTACTTGGGGAATTTCAACGAAATTGATGAAAATCCGACCACAAGTACCAGAAAAATGTTCACAACTTAAACCTATCACACTCGACAGTTTGGAGAATTTTGAAAAGGCAACTTTTGTATCCCTACTATATCCTAAGAGTACAAGCCTTATTGCCAAAAGATTTTCCGCCAAGATTGGCTTTTTGTACATGGATGCAAGACAAAATAGCTCAAAATCCTGAATTTGGAGTTCTGTTTACCGATGAAGCATCTTTCTCGAAGGCTGGTGTTTTCAATTTTCACAATAACCACATATGGGCAGAAGCTCATCGCATTTATGTTCGAAAATTTTCTAGAGAAAGAGCGCCTTGTCCTAAAATTTTATATGGAATAGTTACAAAATTTCTGAAAAGTGGTAACGTGGAGGAAAAAAAACGAACACGTACAAGATCGGTTACGAATGCACAGAATCAAATAGCTGTTTTACAAGCTGTAGATGTTAATCCTCATGTAAGTTGCCGTCAATTGTCAAAAGATTCAGGCATTTCATTAACGAGTGTACAGGGTGTCCAAATTTCGATGGGTTTGCAGGGTATCTCAGTTATTATGAAAGATAGAAAGTTGTGGCTTTCGCGAACCTGAGCTACTTTTTTGTGAAACTTACAATGGCGCAAACCAAATTTTCATAGTTCTCGTCGTTTTTAATATACAGGAAGTGTTTGAAATTTACTATTTTCAGACACCTCCTGTATCTCGGCTATACGGAAACTTAGTAAAAAAGTAAAAATAGGTTCTAATAGATTTTTTCACGTGGAATCAAATGGTGCACGTAGAATTTTTCTAGTCATCACGGTTTTTGAGTTATAAATACAACTCAAATACTGAATACTCAACTTCTAAAATACTTAACTCTTTATAATTCAAAAACCGTGATGACTAGAAAAATTCTACGTGCACCATTGAATTCTACGTGAAAAAATCTATCAGAACCCGGTTTTACGTTTCCGGATAGCCGAGATACAGGAGGTGTTTGAAAATCGTAAATTTTGAAACTCTCCCTGTATATCAAAAACGAAGAGGGCTATGAAAATTTGGTTTGTGCCATTGTAAGTTTTACAAAAAAGTAGCTCAGGTTCGCGAAAGCCGCAACTTTCTATCTTTCATAATAACTGAGATACCCTGCAAATCCATCGAAATATGGACACCCTGTACATCGGATTTTGAAACTTAATAAGTTTCATCCGTATCATGTCTCTCTACACCAACAATTACATGGTGATGATTTCGAAAATCGTGTGCAATTTTGTACTTGGGCAATGAAAAAATTAAGATTGAATGTAAATTTTTTCTTCAATGTACTATTTTCCGACGAATCCTCTTTCACCAATCACGGTCAAGTAAATCGTCATAACATGCACTACTGGTCACATGAAAATCCTCGTTGGTT